TAATAACAAACAATTATAAAAAAAATCTTATCTAAATATATATCACTCGGGTAGATATGCACACGGGTCAATCCTGGGGCGAAGCCCGGGTCACCCGTCTATTCAATATATTTTTTAAATGTCATAGAAAGAGGGGTTGAGTGAAATATTAAAATGGAGAGTAATTAGAGAACATTTTATATAAAATAATTTACTTAAAACATTTTCTTACACATAAATTTCAACTATTCCTGCTGGTGTTATTGGAAAGGCCTGGCTAATCATTAGTGAAGTCTCCCTCACAAGTTTACCAGGCTGCTACAATTATTGTTGCTATATAAGCTGTTTGTACTTCCCTACAATAAAATGATGTGGTAGATCTCTTGTTCCAGTCTTCACACCACTTCTTGGAGGTTGAGCTCATCCAGCTTTCTCAATATCTCTTTTAGAGTTTGGGAAAATATCCTTTCTGCTTGAGATACATAAAGGAATTCTTAATGAAACTTCTATGAAGCTATAAGGTTTTCTAAGAGTAGCTTGCTACCAATTCATTCAGGATTCCCCCGTCCCCGATGAGCCAAGCCCTTCCAATAATATTTCTCCTTATACAGTAAAACCCCGCTAATACGAACCCTGGATATAACGAACCTTCCCTTATAACGAACCCACGCCGATTCCCAATTCCATTCCATTGAAAATACCATCATTATAACGAACTTTGCGATTTTTAGAATAACGAACTACCCCTATAACGAACCTATTTTCGGTCCCAAAATAATAAAATCTATTTAAAATACTATGCTTATAACGAACTTAGAATTGTAATTAAAAAAAAAAAAATTAAAACAACCTAATTTTGAGCATGTGAAACATGCTCGCGGATCGCGATTTCAAAACAATAAATTTAGCGGCATTGTTTTTGAATTTTGCACTTTATTTTTGCTGTATGTTGTATAAATTTTAACACATTATACTTTTTATTAAATATAATATATTTTCATCCATTAAATCTGAAATATAAAAATACAAATGGCTTCCAAAATGAAGAAAACAAAGGCATTTTAAAAACAAAAGCGTTATTTCTTAAAAAAAAAAAAAAAAAAAGGCCATTTTCAGAACTTTTCAAAGTGAAACAACACAGGCAAAATGTTAGGAACATATTAAAATAAGAGAATATAACTTTTCTATTATAAAAGATAAAATATAAAGCTATTAAAAATTGTTACAAAGAGGAATCAACCTCAACTTTTGCCGCGATCGTACGTTTTAGGGCTAAAAAAAAAAAAAAAAAAATCTAAATAAATGGTCCCGTGATCAAACAAAAACTATTTTTATGCCATTAACTATGGTGATTTTAAAGTCAGCAATGTTTTGCATGACAGGTTTAAAAAAAAACTAAATCTAGACTTAGAAGAATATGTGGGAAAATGAAATGGAAGAAAAACTCCAACTTTATTTGAATGGTGCAATGCTTGAAGAATGCTTTGAAGCAACAAGGTGTTAGAGCCATTTTTACAAGTAAACAATGTATTATATAATGTGATAATGATGTTTTAAAATCATTTTATATCTTTGAATATATATTTAATAAAACTCTTTGCCTAGGAATTGTCTTGATTTTTAAATTAGACATAGAGGTACATGTATGTTAATGATGAGAAGAACCTATCATCTAATGATTTCTATTATTATTCAGTATTAATGTAAGTAAATTAGTCAATTAAGGGAATTAAAACAAAGTGACCACTATTAAGAGGAAGCCTCTTCCAGTGTGTATGTCTGTCCTTTAATTATACGGTCTAAAAATTTTGAAAAGTAAAAAAAAATGGCCAAACCGTGGCTATAGTGAACCGTGGCTATAGTGAACCAAAAGCTCTGTCCCATTGGGGTTCACTATAGAGGGGTTTTACTGTATGATATAAAAAAGAGAATATAAATATGCAGTAGAACATACTCCATGAGAGGACACTCGCGCTAGAGGACACCTCTCTCTACAAAAGACAGTTTTCTTTTGCAAAATTACCATTTTTACTATTTAGCAACTCTCCGGTAAAAGGACACCTCTCCCTAAAGGACACTTTAGCTCTGCAATTAGGTGTTGTCCTTTACAGGGAGTTAGTTTTACTGTATAACAACTATTCTTGGTTATTTCAGTTACTCAGTGTTACCTTCCTCAGGGAAATCCTTTTCTTTTTTTAAACTATTTCAAGTATATGTGGTACAGGCCTTAATAATCATGGTGGGTAGTCAGTAACTGCCTTTATTGCAAGTGCACTTTTTTTTAATTAAGAAAAAAAGTACCTAATGCGGGATTTAATCCCAGGTTGTGGCTATCAGAAATCTATGGTTTATATCAATTATCCACCAACTAACCCCATAGGAGATTCTACTCTATATAAACTCAATAAATGCAGAAAAACAAGAGCAATATGAAACTGTTGTGAAGCTTCACCATTAATTGATAACACAGGTCTACAAAACTCAAAAAAGTTGTACCTTATAGCATATATATATCGGGATTCAGAAAAAAAACTCTGAGAGATATATATGCTATAAGGTACAACTACTTTGAGTTTTGTAGACCTGTGTAATTAGAGATACTCTTCAATAAATTTTCATTTTTAATATAGAAAAAAATATTATTATCACAAGTTTATATAGTATAGGTCATGATAACCATGATGGGTAGTACTTTGCATATACTGTTAGGGTACCACATATCTACACATGTAGCATTATTATTACAGCTAAACCTTTAATACACATTTGGTAACAAGTTTGTTACCCTTTCTATTTTCTCCATATGGTTCCTATTTATCTGTTCATTTTTAAAATATCAAATTATTTTTATATATGTAGCATAAAAGTATATGAAAAAACACATTAAAAAGGGAAATTTGCTTTAAAATATTTTTAAAAATCTCTCTAACGCGATATTTAAATAAATAAGTCGTTATATTCAAAACAATTTAATTTGTAATTTCATTAATATTTTTAATTGTATTTTCAACATTTTTTCGAAGCATATATAAAATATATAAAAGTATTTATAAAATTCTAGTATATTTTGTCAAAATACCGGCATATGTCAAAAATATTATAGCTAACGAATAAAAGTTGAGACAAAATTAAACTTAGGACTAACTAAAATAGTAAATTAATATTTACAAGATATAAATATACATAAGAATATGCACATTTCTTGAGCAAAGATAAAATAGTATAGTTTACGTACCTAAAGGAGCAGTTGGAGTGTCTATATGTTTGGTGGGTTGCTAAGTAACCTATTTTAATCACGTGACAAATTCGGCCTTGAAGTGTTTTATTTAATTTTCCGTTGTTTTAATTTCAATATAATAACCATTTATTCTTATTTTCAAAAAATAATAATATAATTATTGACAAAAAGAAAACAAAACAATAATATTTATAATAAATTATTTAAAAGGTAATACAAGGACTATTCCTTCGTGCATCGGTGGTTCAGTGGTAGAATGCTCGCCTGCCACGCGGGCGGCCCGGGTTCGATTCCCGGCCGATGCATTTTTTTTTATTTTTTACTTTCAAGAAATGTTTTATACTTTTTTTATTATTATTTTTTTTTTTAATTAAAAGTCCTTTCGCGTTGTTGTAGCTGATTAAAATCAGCTGGTGGTGGTGTCTTGTCCATGGAGCAGATCAGATCGGTCCGTGCACCCTGATCACAATACCGGCCAAAGAGGTGCCTTGTCCGTATGGATGTCCTCTTCTGGATTGATGTCTGCCATATAGAGGGCTGCAAGGATGGCCGGGTATATATGGTCCGGAGTGAGTTGGGTGTTGTGACAGTTATTGCAGTTCCTGTAGGATATGGGCTGGTATATTTTGGTTTTTGTAATGAGTTTTGCTTTTGCTATTGTATTTGCGTCTTTCAGTTTTATTGAACTGGTTTCCAGTGGCTGTTTTCGTCCTTCCTTCGCTGGGCCATCAGCCTGTTCATTGCCCTCTATTCCAACATGGGCTGGTACCAATGGAAGGTAGATCTTTTGCCCATTGTGTCAAGTCGGCTTAGGATTTCATGTATTTGGTTGGTTAGGTCTATTTAACCCTTCTCTATTGTCTGTAGGGATGATTTAGAGTCTGTTAAGATGATAATTCCTCGGGTTTTATTTTCTTCTAAGAAAATATAGAGGTCAGACTTTCTTTGATGGGCAATAAATTTACATAAACAAACTTTTACCTATTGTTTTGTTTAGCATCGATTTCTGAGTCAAAACGCTAGCTATTTATATGTAATACTATTCAAAAATGGTGATCCAAATACACCATCAAATTATAGGGGCATTGCCCTTATAAGCAACTTGTTAAAAGCTTTTGCATCCATGTTAAAAAATAGACTAAGTAATTGGATTGAAAATAGAAAACTCATGGCGGATAATCAGGCAGGATTCAGAAGGGGCTACTCGTGCCAAGACCATATCTTCACGCTTACATCATTAATCCAAATGACATAAAACCTCAAAAGGAGGAAACTTTATGCATTCTTTGTTGATCTTAAAAAAGCGTTTGATACAGTTTCACATATACACATAATACGCTTGTTGGTTTAAGTGGGCGATTTATCAAACTTATACAGAACTACTATGCTCATATGATGGCAGCGGTCAGATGGAACGGCTCTTTTACAGAATTTATCAAAATACAATCAGGTGTTCTTCAGGGTGAACCTCTTTCACTGTATTTATTTATTATTTTCATTAACGATCTGGTTGCTACGCTGGATGATTCTGACCTGCCAGGTATATACTTACCGGGCCATGGAACTATACACCTCCTCCTGTTCGCGGATGATATAGTCCTCTTTGGTGAATCCTAGATAAATCTCCAAATAAAGATTAATTTAAGGTTTCACCGCATAAGTTTCTTTTCTGTGAAAAATCAATATTTATTTCAAAGAGAAATATTTACTATTTCTAACTTTTTTGGATGAAGTATGAAAGGGTGAAAATATGAAGAGTGATGGCGAACGGAAAAATAAAAGTGTCCAGGGGCGGGAATCGAACCCACAACCTTCCGCTTACCGGGGAGATGCCATGTCCACTAGGCTACCCTGGACGTATTTTTCCGTTCGTAAATAATACTTAAAGTAACTTATAATACATTATAAGGGACTGCGGCGTATGATTATAAAACAACTTAAAGTTTCACCGCATAAGTTTCTTTTCTGTGAAAAATCAATATTTATTTCAAAGAGAAATATTTACTATTTCTAACTTTTTGGATGAAGTATGAAAGGGTGAAAATATGAAGAATAATGGCGAACGAAAAAATAAAAGTGTCCAGGGGCGGGAATCGAACCCACAACCTTCCGCTTACCGGGCAGATGCCATGTCCACTAGGCTACCCTGGACGTATTTTTCCGTTCGTAAATAATACTTAAAGTAACTTATAATACATTATAAGGGACTGCGGCGTATGATTATAAAACAACTTAAAGTTTCACCGCATAAGTTTCTTTTCTGTGAAAAATCAATATTTATTTCAAAGAGAAATATTTACTATTTCTAACTTTTTTGGATGAAGTATGAAAGGGTGAAAATATGAAGAGTAATGGCGAACGGAAAAATAAAAGTGTCCAGGGGCGGGAATCGAACCCACAACCTTCCGCTTACCGGGCAGATGCCATGTCCACTAGGCTACCCTGGACGTATTTCTCCGTTCGTAAATAATACTTAAAGTAACTTATAATACATTATAAGGGACTGCGGCGTATGATTATAAAACAACTTAAAGTTTCACCGCATAAGTTTCTTTTCTGTGAAAAAAGTTAGAAATAGTAAATATTTCTCTTTGAAATAAATATTGATTTTTCACAGAAAAGAAACTTATGCGGTGAAACTTTAAGTTGTTTTATAATCATACCCCGCAGTCCCTTATAATGTATTATAAGTTACTTTAAGTATTATTTACGAACGGAAAAATACGTCCAGGGTAGCCTAGTGGACATGGCATCTGCCCGGTAAGCGGAAGGTTGTGGGTTCGATTCCCGCCCCTGAACACTTTTATTTTTCCGTTCGCCATTACTCTTCATATTTTCACCCTTTCATACTTCATCCAAAAAAGTTAGAAATAGTAAATATTTCTTTTTGAAATTATTGGAAATATTAACGAATGACTCGTTAAAGCAGAGTGCCAATTGATTTATTGGTTATACAAGTTTAGAGAAAAAGAGGGATAGAATGACAGTTGTAAACAGCTAGCAGCAGGCAGGAAGGAGGGGTAGGTAGTGACGTCACACATGGTAGCAGGTGGCGCCGCCGCAGTGTACATGTACCAAAGGTCGACTTGGGATGAAACAGCGACTCTATAAATTTCACATTTCTAACACTCCCTCTTGAAATTTATAACGTTCAAGTTTTCTAGGAGCCGCCTGAAGTGTTTCGGTCCCAAAGGTTTCGTCAGGAGGTCAGCCGTCTGCTGAAGAGTGCTGACATATCTTGTGATCAGCTCACCATCTTCCTGTTTAGTACGAATGTAGTGATGATGATGTAGTTCTGTTGTCGAGAGGGCAACTGTCGATTGCTTTTGGCTTGACCATGAAACAGCACCATGGTTTAACATGAAGATGTAACCTGTAGTACTTTTCCTTGAATCAATGTCCCTAGCATAATCGCTATCTGAGTAACCTGTTAACTCTTGATGGCTAGCGTACAATATTCCTAATTGTGGTGTTGCTTTCAAGTAGCGAAATACATTTTTAATTGCTGTCCAGTGTGTCTGTCCTGGGTTGTCAAGGTATTTACTTAACTGTGATGTTGCAAAAGCTATGTTCGGTCTAGAAACAGAAGAGGCAAACAGTAGTGAGCCTACGGCTTCTCTGTAAGGAAATTTTGGTGAATTTCCATTTTTATCTAAGTCTGGGCAATCAGCTTTAGTTAGGACTGTACTCAGGTCCATGGGTACTGCTGCGGGTTTGCAATCAATCATGTTGAATTTATCTAAAATCTTGTTTATGTATGAAGATTGGTGGATATAGATCTTCGATCTATCCTCTGATTGTTCAATCTGAAGTCCTACGAAATAATCTGCATCTCTAGACGTTATATTGAACTCGTGAGATAGTTCCTGGACGATAGAATCGATATCGTCCTTGTTCCGAGACATGAGAAGTCCATCATCGACGTAAAGAGCAAGGATCATTTGAATGTCGTTAATAGTTCCGGTGAAAACACATTGATCTGCATTAGATTGAAAAAAAATTGTGTTTCTCTAAGAAGGATTTAAACTTCCTATTCCAATTTCTGGACGATTGTTTCAGTCCATATAGACTCTTTTGTAGTTTACAAACAAAATTGTCTCCTTGAGAGAAACCTTCTGGTTGTTCTAACTATATGACTTCGTCTTGGTCACCATATAAAAATGCAGTCTTTACGTCAAATTGTTTTAAGAACATTCTTTCTGATGCCGCGTTTGCTAGTAACACTCGAAGTGAATCATATCTGACAACAGGACTGAAGGTGTCGAAATAGTCTACGTTCTTCCTTTGTGTGTAACCCTTAGCTACAAGTCTAGCCTTAAATTTAGGTGCCGTAGAGTTGGGATGGAATTTTAGCTTATAAACCCATTTACTTCCTATTGGCTTATATCCGTCTGGTAGGGTTTCGAGTGACCATGTGTTATTAGATTCTAACGCTTTTATTTCTTCTTTCATTGCATCCAACCATTTTTCGGCATTTGGACTTTCCATAGCATCTTTATAGGTTGAAGGCTCATCGACAAAATGGTAGTTACAAGAATCTGCTTTCTTTTTAGATCGAGTTATCATCGGGTGGAATCCCGGCGGCGTGGGAAACCATAGCGCTGTAGGTGATTCATCCTCGGTCGGTGGTGCCGGCGGGTCAAGGTCAATGTCTATTGGGATGAGGCCTTCTCCCTCTAGTTCGTAATGTTGGAGTTTTGTCTCGTTAAAAGTAACATCTTTAGAGATAGAAATCTTTCTAGTAGAAGGGTTCCAGAGTCGAAAGTTAGTGCATGTTTTATCGTACCCTAAGAAAATCATCTTTTGTGATTTCTTATCCCATTTCCTTCTACGTTCTTTAGGTGTATGCAACCATGCTTCACAGCCGAAAATCTTTAGATTATATAAACTAACTTTTCTTCCGAAAAAGAGTTCATAGGGTGTGGTATTGGGAGCTTGTTTAGTGAATGTTCGGTTTAGAATGAAGGTTGCAGTATTGCAAGCTTCTGCCCAAAGTTCTTCGGGAAGATTTCGTGCGCACAGCATCGATCGAGCTGCTTCGACAATAGTTCTATTGTCTCGTTCTACGCGCCCTATCTGTTCGTGAACATATGGAGCTGACAATTCATGCACTATTCCGAACTTTCTGCAAGTATTTGTGAAATCTTTACTGGTATATTCTAGTGCATTATCGGTTCTAATCACTTTAATTTTATTGCCTGTTTTATTATAACTGAATCTAGCAAAGTTTTCAAATTTGTGTAAAATATCGGATTTGTGTCTAATGGAATCTATATGGCGAAAGCCACTGGAATAATCTTTGAATAAAATGAAATAAAGTGATCCTCCAATTGATTGTGTTGGCATAGGGCCGCAGATATCACTTAGAATGAACTCACCAGGATTGTACTCCTTTGTTTCAGACAAATGACTAGGCTTTCTGTGAGCTTTTCCTTCTTGGCAGCCTTGACAGAAGAAATCGTCTTCTTTTATGTCCTCGGGTTGCAAACCGTTGATCAATCCTTTCTTGGCCATTTCTCGAATAGTGGTGAGTGAGATGTGTGCTAGTCTTTCGTGCCACAGTTGGAGGTTGTTGATCTTTGCAGAAAATCCTTGTGAAGATGAAGTAACTCGGAACATCATCTTGTAGAGCCCATCTTGGCGTTGTCCAACTGCTTTCAGATCTTTTCTTGAGTAGATGCGCAGCTCATCCTTGTCGATGTCTACTCGGTATCCCTTTTCAGTGCACACTCCCAGGCTGAACAAATTTTTCTTGAGCTTCGAAGAGTAGAGCACATTCCTGATTGATGTTGTAATCCATTCTCCATTCACCATGGCAAGGATTTCAATGTCACCTGTACCTTCTGCAAGGACGGAAGTGTTGTCTCCAAGGTATATTCTATGATCGTTGTGGATCGGAGTGAAGGACTTGAACCATTCACGTCGGAAGGTCATGCTGCAGGTAGCTCCGCTATCTGCCCACTATATGTCGCAATCATTCCACTTTAGGATGGTATCAGCGTTGAAACCTTTATGATCACAATCTCCTGCTTGGTTCTTCCGCTTCTCGTTTTTCTTCTGCTGGTCGGCAATCCGTTTCCGACATTCCCGTGACCAATGACCAATCTTGTGGCAATAATGGCATTCAGTCTTTTTCTTTAGTTCTGATATCTTTCCTGAATCAGTCTTCTTTATGTTATCTTCTTTGATTCTTGGTTTAGTCTGTTGGTAGAATGCTGTACCTTGCGAGGAATCGGCCTGCTGGTTTCTACATTCTTCAATCAGAAGACGTGCTGATAAGTTCTCTAGAGTCTGCGTAATCGGCGCTTGAGACTCCCATGCTGGGATGAAATACCGCATGCTCGAAGGAAGAGAGTTTATTATCTTTGCCACTTTCTGGTCATCTGTAATCGTTCCTCCTGCATCCTGAATTCTTGCACTAAGATTTTCAATCTTGGCGATATAGCTGCTGACATCCTCTGATGACGACATTCGGGCGTCAAAAAATTGTTGCCACAACATGCCAATTGCGATCTCTGATCTCTGTTCGTGGATGGACATGAGCCTTGTCCACATTTGAGCGGCAGTTTTACAGGACATCAAAGGTTCTAGAAATCTTAATTCAAGTGCCTGTGATATAAGCATTCGGGCTTTGATATCTTTGGCGTGCCATGCATCCTGTATAGCAGAGGTAGCGTCACTTACCTCTGGTTTGATTTCTTTGCCGTCCACGATATCCAAAAGTTGATTTTGCTCTAATAGTAGTCGGAACTGAAATTTCCAAAGGGAGAAGTTTTCGCCTTTGAACTGGCGGACTTGATTCTCAAGGTGCGTCATATTTACCACGAGTTAGGCTTAGTAGTTTCACTTTAGGTTTGCTTCTTCAAATTTGGGGCGTAGTCAGGACCCATAACCTATTGGAAATATTAACGAATGACTCGTTAAAGCAGAGTGCCAATTGATTTATTGGTTATACAAGTTTAGAGAAAATCAAAAGAGGGATAGAATGACAGTTGTAAACAGCTAGCAGCAGGCAGGAAGGAGGGGTAGGTAGTGACGTCACACATGGTAGCAGGTGGCGCCGCCGCAGTGTACATGTACCAAAGGTCGACTTGGGATGAAACAGCGACTCTATAAATTTCACATTTTTAACAGAAATAAATATTGATTTTTCACAGAAAAGAAACTTATGCGGTGAAACTTTAAGTTGTTTTATAATCATACGCCGCAGTCCCTTATAATGTATTATAAGTTACTTTAAGTATTATTTACGAACGGAAAAATACGTCCAGGGTAGCCTAGTGGACATGGCATCTGCCCGGTAAGCGGAAGGTTGTGGGTTCGATTCCCGCCCCTGGACACTTTTATTTTTCCGTTCGCCATTACTCTTCATATTTTCACCCTTTCATACTTCATCCAAAAAAGTTAGAAATAGTAAATATTTCTCTTTGAAATAAATATTGATTTTTCACAGAAAAGAAACTTATGCTGTGAAACTATAGGTTGTTTTATAATCATACGCCGCAGTCCCTTATAATGTATTATAATTTACTTTAAGTATTATTTACGAACGGAAAAATACGTCCAGGGTAGCCTAGTGGACATGGCATCTGCCCGGTAAGCGGAAGGTTGTGGGTTCGATTCCCGCCCCTGGACACTTTTATTTTTCCGTTCGCCATTACTCTTCATATTTTCACCCTTTCATACTTCATCCAAAAAAGTTAGAAATAGTAAATATTTCTCTTTGAAATAAATATTGATTTTTCACAGAAAAGAAACTTATGCTGTGAAACTTTAGGTTGTTTTATAATCATACGCCG